TCATGGCCCCATGACGGGCTCCACCTGGGGCCCCAATGGCTGTGCTAGCATGACTTCTCCGTGCCATTTCGGCGCACCCCTCACGCGTTGCGTGGCCACGTCGGGAGCTCCACCTGAGGCCCAGATGGCTGCGTTCGTATGCCTCGTCCACACCATTTCGGCGCGCCCCTCACGCGTTTCGTGGCCCCATAGAAGGGGGCTCTACCGACAACCCCGCCGCCTGCTGCTCCCCAACAAACATCTACATACGCGTACATCAGGTGTAACGGGTTGCATCCAAGTGTAACCCGTCACGCTCGACCTCTGCGACTCCATCAACAACGTCGATTCGTCCTTCCCACGCACGCCTAAATCCTTTGCCAGCCCTCTCCAGTAGTTTCCATCTGTCTTGCGGTACTCACACCTGCATTTGGTTGGGTCCTTCGCACGGCTGCTTCGATGAACTCCCAGCCATCCTGTGGTGATGGGCCCTCGTTTTGAAGAGGCAGTGCCCCGCGTCCTCCTCTCTCCTCCTCCCTCCTTCCTCCTCCCATACATGCTGCTGCCCTCCGCATGCCCATTTCGGCACACCCCTCACACGACTCGTGGCCCCATACGGAACTCCACCGGAAGCCCCCGTGGCAACGCCCGCGTGGCGGCCCCGCGCTCCTTTGGGCACACCCCTCACGCGTTTCGTGGCCACCTCGGGAGCTCCACTAAAGGCCCCACTGGCAGCGTTCGCATGGCGCCCCTCCCACCCATTCCGGTGCACCGCTCACGCGCTTCGTGCCCCCTACAGGAAGCTCCGCCGAACGCCTCAATGGAAATGTTCGCATGGCGGCCCCGCACCCCTTTCGGCACACCCCTCAGTTACACGCTTCGTGGTCCCATGGGGAGCTCCACCGAAAGCTCCAAAAGCAGCGCTCGCATGGCGGACCCGCGCCACCTTCGGCACACCCCTCACATGTTTCGAGGCCCCACGGGGGGCTCCGCTGGAAGCCTCAATGGGAGCGCCCGCATGGCGGCCCCGCACCCATTTCGGTACTCCCTTCACACGTCTCGTGGCCCCATGCGGAGCGCCATCGAGGGCACCAATGGCAGCGTTCGCGTGGCGGCCGCGAGCCCCATGTCGGCACATCCCCGTAGCCCCACAGGGAGCTCTACCGAGGACGATACTTACACTGCGTTGCTCCACAGCCGCATATGGTTGGGCCCTTCGCCAGGGTCTTTTTGTACACTATCCCTCGTCTCTCCAGTCCTGCCTCCTTTTACTGTCTGCTCGGGGGCCTGCGGCGCACAGAGCAGGGGGTCCCTGGACTGCCTGGCCGCTCTGGGTTGCTCCATGGTTCCGATGGTGTTGCCACCGCGCGGCCAAGAGGACGCATCGGGCGTCGCACGGGGTCCCAGGACGCTCCGAAGATGGCTTCAAAAGCCCAGGATAGCTCAAGGCTCAAGAGAAACCCGAGACTCCCCAAGATAGCCCCAAGATGCCCCTACCCGCAAGAGGAGCTCAAGAAAACCTCCAAGAGAGCCGCCAGAGGCCAACATTCATGGTTTGTGAAGGACTTTCGAGTTCTCGCCGTTTCAAGCTTCTGGAAGCCCGAAGCAGCCAAGGATGCCTCAAAGATAACATCATGACGGCTCAAAGAGGCTCCCAAGAAAGCCCCGAGACCCCAAGACGCCGCAGAGGCCTTCAGGACGGCCCCAAGACTGCCCAACAGGGCTCCAAGATGGCCTCCCCAAGATCCTCAAGACGGCGAGCAAACCCAAGGCAGCCTAAGAGGCTGCCGAGAAGCCCCAACATGGCTCGCCCTGGTAACCCTCCTCCTCCTCGTCCTCGTCCTCGTCCTCGTCCTCGTCCTCGTCCTCCTCCTCCTCCTCGTCCTCCTTCTCCTCCTCCTCCTCCTCCTCCTCCGCCTCCCCTTCCTCCACTCACCACCGTTCTGCGCCTCCGTATGCAGAGGGCGATTTCAGACGACGCACCCAGACCTCGATGCTGCATAAACCAGCCCCTGGTCTTAGGTCGGGCATGTCCTCCTACAGGCGGAGTTTGGAACAAAGCGAAACTATAGTTAAACCACAATATAAAACAAGTTAAAACAAGCGCAGGAACTCGTCGCCAGACTTGTTGTTGAACTATTTTCGAAAACTTCTCCTGAGAGGAACATGCTCGACGTAACCCTTGTCGCACTTGGAATACCATGTGGGACCTGCTCTAGAACAGGAACATACCGTAGACGGATCTACCCTTTCGCCGACCTTGCACCGCGCCGAACGCAAAGGCCACTTTGTCCATAGACGTATCCACCCCGAAAATGTCTGTGGACGTCTCGGTACCCACTGAGTCCATCGACGCTCTTGGCTAGGACGTGAGAACGGTATTTGGCATCGGCCCCAGGTGTTGGTAAGCAGGTCGGCTTGGCCCTCCAATAGAAGAAGACACAACGCCATAAACATAGAACTGCTTGGCGCTACGCGCGGACTTCTTGGATCTGCGCTGGACCCCCCTCCCTGGCACGCGGAGCGCGCCAGGGGCGGCGCCGGAGGCGCCGCCGGCGGGGCCCAGCGCGGATCCGAGAAATCCGCGCGGAGCGCCAAAAGTTTGTGCTCGTGGCGTGATCTTCTTCCTCGGCCCAGGGCCCCACGACCAGCAGCGGCCCCGCCCGCCCCGCAGGGGGCTCCGAGAGGCTCCCCCGCTCGCCAGGGCTCACCAGCCGCCCTGGGGGGGCCCGGCGGCAGAGGGGGCGGCCCGTCCCATATTTAGCGCTGCGGGTCCCGCGGGGCCTCGGAGTTCAGGTCGGCACGCTTGGCACGAGGTCGGGCATGTCCTCCTACAGGCGGATCTTGGAAGGAAGGGGCAGCAATAGCTAAAACATCGTCGAGCATAGTCCAGTCCAGAGGGCGCGAACAACTCGTCGCCAGACTGTTTCTGTCCTATTCTGGAGTATTCCTCCTGTCGAGGGACATGCCCGACTGAAGCTTGGCATCGTGCTGCGAGGAGGTCGCGACTTCCACAGCACGAATCACACTTTGCATGTCCTCGGCATCTTGTCTGAACCAATTGGCCAATTTCTGCAACTGCAGCTTGTTTACCACGAACGGCTCCTCGATCTGGACGGCGATATTCTCGAGGCTGAGGAACACTAGCGCGATGAAGCCAACAGTGAGCGGCACGATGAAGAGCGGCTGCCCCTCCCAGAACGTGCCCTTGTTGAAATCGGTGAACGTCTTGATGAGCGCGAACGGCAGCAGCGTGAGCCAGACCAGCAGGAACCGCAGCAGGGAGCGCGTGTACGCCACCGGGATCGGCGAGCGCAGCAGCTGCTCGCAGTCCGCGAGCTCGCGGCCCGCGCCGACGAGCAGGCACTGGTCCATGTCCTTGCGCTGGAACACGGTGAGGTGCGGGAGCTGGTTCTAGGTCGGGCACGCCCCCCCCCACAGGGTGATTGTGGACGCAGGATCAAAAGCACTCGACCAATATTCCAACAAGAATCAAACGTAGTAAACAAACATCGTCCCCAGAGTACTTTTGATCTATTCCTGCGTCTTCCTCCTGCAGAGGGACACGCCCGACCCAGAGCTGGTGGATCTCCCAGGACAGGAGCGTGTGCACCTGCGCGGGCGTCAGCGGCGCGCCCGCCGGCCGGCCGAGCCGGCCGTTGAGCACCGCCTGCGCGGCGGCGCCCTCCCCGCAGGGGCCCTCGGGCAGGTCCTGCGCCACCAGGTACGCGGTGAGGAGCCAGCAGTGGTACGCGACGATCGGAGGGGAACACGAACAAAATGACAGAAGCATCAAAAAAGCTCGGAGAGGTCCGCGCGGAGTTCTCGGAGCCGCGCTGTGGACACCCCTCCCTGGCGCGCCAGGGGCGCTTCCAGGGGGGGTCCAGCGCGGAGCCGAGAAATCCGCGCGGACCTCCGAGTTTTGATGCTTCTGTCACTGTTCGTTCCCCTGGATCAGGTCGATGATCCTGTCGACTTCCGCGGCTGGCCTCCGCATCTGCCCGTCCGTCCACGTGAGCAGCTGCCGGATGAGGCTCGACAGCTCCCCGGTGATCTTCTGCACCGACCTGCACCCCGACACGTACCGCAGGTACGAGCTGTTGGTGCGGAAGACGAGCAGCAGGCCCAGCAGCGGCGAGGTGAACTCGAAGGGCTCGACTGGCAGCTCTAATTCTACGAGTTTGGTGCTTCTGGCAGCGATGTAGCTGTACAGCTCCACACCGGAGGAGAATATCAACAAGGCGACAAGGACGGGCCACACGCGACTCGTCGTCGTGCCGTTCACAAGCCCTGGGAGATCCCTCAAATACCTGGAGGCTGAGGCGTGCTTCCGCCACCTGCTGTGGTCGAAAGACCGCTCCTCGAAAAACTCGGCCTCCACCCTCCCCAGCCCGTCGAAGGCGACGGAGTCCGAGAACTCTTGCCAGAACTTCGCGTCGAGCACATTCGACGGTGATGGACGGATCTTCCACAACCGCTACCATATGCAGGAGAGGGAGGAGGGAGGAGGAGGAGTAGGAGGAGGCGGAGGAGGAGGAGGCGGAGGAGGAGGAGGAGGAGGAGGAGGAGGAGGAAGAGGACCTCCCCATCCTATGGCAGCGGTGGTGGGTGGAACATTCGCCCATCAGACGGGCCAGCCCTGGAGGGCTCCAAGGCCCTCCGGTCGCCGCCGCGTTCGCCGCCGCCGCGGCCGCCGCGCGCTGGCGCACCGCCGGCGGCCGGCGCTACGAAGAGCCGCGCGGCGGCGGCCGCACAGAGCAGCCCCGCGAGGCAGCAGCACGGGGCGCGGGCGACGAGGCCGCCGATGATCGGCGGAGGAAAGGTGGGGCCCCGAGGGCTGGGGCCCGGAGGACGTGAGGACGTGGGGCCTTTCAGCAGCGCAGGTGCAGCCTGGGATGCCTCCCATCCTCCCTCCTTCGAGCTTCGAGCCATGGGGGCATTGGATCCGTGCTGGAGCTGCTATCCCCTCCTCCTCCTCCTCCTCCTCCTCCTCCTCCTCAGCAGCAGCAGCATCATGATACTCATCCCCACCACCACCACCACCACCACCACCACCACCACCACAATAACCATCATCATCGTCATCATCATCATCATCAGCAACAGCAACAGCATCAGCATCAGCATCATCATCATCAGCATCAGCATCAGCATCAGCATCAGCATCATCATCGCCATCACCATCACCATCACCATCATCATCACCATCACCATCGTCATCATCATTATCATCATCATCGCGATCATCATCATGATCATCATGACCATGATCATGCTGCTGATGATCATCATCATTGTCCTCATCAACATCAACACAGTCAACATCAACACCACCATCACCACCACCATTCGTGTCATCACCATCACCTGAACATCAACATCAGCAACACCATCATAATCATCATCGCCATCGACATCATCATCGTCAACGTCATAATCATCATCATGATCATCAAAATCATCATCATCAACATCATCATCATCATTATCATCATCGCCATCATCACCATCATCATCATCAGCATCACCAGTATCGCCATGATCATTGCCGTTGTCCTCGTCGTCGTCCTCATCGTCATCAGCATTGCCACAACACTTATCATTACCACCGCCACCATCATCATCATCATCATCATCACCATCATCACCATCATCCTCATCCTCATCCTCATCCTCATCGTCATCATCAGCATCAGCATCATCATCATCAACATCATCCTCCATCCTCCTTCTCATCTTCATGCTCCTCCCTCCTCCTCAGCCCACCTCCTCTTCCTCTTTCTCTCTCCCTTCTTCTTCTTCCTCCTCCTCCTCTTCCCAATCCTGCTCCCTCCTCCTCCTTCTCGTAACCTTGACGGCTTGATGGCTTTTCACGGCAGCGGCGACGGCGGCGGACGGGTGAATGCGTCGTTCGCAACGTCGGCATCTCCTCCAGGCTCTCGGCACGTCCTCTGCAGTACGGAGGACACCGCTCTGGAGCCCGTGATCTCACTACAGGGCAGGTTTTAATACACAGGGTTTCTTATACTATCGGATGTTTAAGACATGACTAATTTATGAATACATTTATGCGTGAACTCATCTTTGTTTTTAATACTGAACCCCTGCACTTTTAACACATAACCCGCACGCGGAGCATGTATAAGAAAAACGGCACTGTACTCTCGGCGGTGGACAACCCTCCCTCTAGTACACCTCCCCCTAAAGAAGACGGCCTGGGACCGAAACCGACGGACCTGGACCCGCAAAAACGACGGCCGCGGCGCCCTCTCGCGAACCGAAAACGGCCAATTCCTGCATCGACGTGTCAGGGTAGGTCTGTCCACCCGATACTCTGGCGCGCATGTGTGCACGCCCCCGCGCGAGGCCGCCGGGCCCGCGTGCCGGGCCCCGTGCGCCTCGAGCGCTGGGCCCCCGCCTCCTCCGGGGCCTCGGGCTCCCGGCCCTCTCCGCGGCTCCTGGGGGCCTCAAAGGGGCCATCCTAAAAACGGCGAGGCCCAATCTGAAATTCGACGCGAGCTCCCGCTGCAGACATCCCACGAAAACTGGACCGTCAAAATCCAGGACGCGCTCGTCAACAAAAACGTCGGCAAACCCGAGTTCCGGCTTACTCGGGTCTTGCGTTTTCCCGATCTTGGGCGCTTTCCTCTCTTGGCTTCCAGCCTGCCTGGGGTCGGGCCAGCCGTCCCCGGGGGGCTGGGGCGCGGGCCTTCGGAGGCCCCTCCCGGGTTCCGGAGAGCGTGCGCTCCCGTCGGTGCCCTGTCTGGGTTTCGGGTTTCGGTGCTCGCCCCTGCAGGGGACTGAAGGGTTTGCGCCGATCTTGGCCCCCGGTAGGCCCAGCATGGATCACCAGTGTTGACCTTACTAAAGCATCTGATGGGATCGAACGCCAACGCCATGCACTGATCAATGCACTTCGCAAGCAAGGAATCACCTGATAGTGCATCAGGCTGCTTTCAGACATCTACCAGCACGAGACCAGTTCTGTCAATGTCAACACGAGCTTCTGCATATCGCGCGGGGTGAAGCAGGGGGGTGTACCACCTTCGTTGTTATTCGGCGATGGCTTGGAAGCCGCTGTTCGCGATTTCAAGAGACAAATGGCTGGAAGCGGCATTTCAATTGGCCGTGGGGAGAAATTGTGGAACATGCGGTATGCAGGCAACGTCTTGTTGTACGCGAACTCCACTAAAGAAGCTATTCGCGTGTTAGGCGCCCTCGTCCAGGAACTAAGCGCGAGAAGGCTCTCTCTGAACGCGATCAAGACCAATACCGTTATCAACGACACCGGTATTTCAACGCACAAGATGGGGCAATGCTTGAGTTTGCTGGCGAACAGCTGACAGTCATGACCGACAGAGGCTATCACAAATACCTAGGTCTCAATTTTTCCGGCGACCTGCGTGACCGCACGACCTGCAGCGTGGATTATCGGATGGAGCGCGCGTGGGCCACACCTCACGCGACCCGCCGCGTTTTGACCAACACGAATATCTCTCTGAGGCTCCTTCTGGTCGATGCGGTCGTCGCGCCAGCCGTTGAGCTTGGACCGTCTTCTGACGGCCTGGCCGACGACCACCGTCGGCCAGGCCGGCTCCGCGCGCCGGCGGACGCTGCGCGAGGCCGTGGGGTTCACCAGGCTGGATGGAGGCACGTGGGGAGACGCAGGGCGCTGCAGCACATCCATGCGCCGCCAGAATATGTCCATATCCACTGCCGCGGGGTCGTACCCCAAGGAACCGAGGAGCGATGGATATGGATATCTGGCCGCCCATGCGGGCGGGCAGATACCCATATCCACCACTCCTCGAGATCCCAGGGCACGACTCCGCAGCGGTGGATCTGGATATGCTCTGGCGGTGGAATCCAGTGTGCAATGGGCAGCGTTTACCAAGCCTCAGACTGGCTCCAGAACGTCGACGGGGCTGCAGGTGGCGTCTGGTGCAGAATTCGAGCTCCGACTGGGCTCTTGGCCGCCCATGATCAAGCGCTGGATGCCCGACAAAGTCAGCAGGAGAGGCCGACATCGGACGAGGTGGCACGACAACATCAATGTGTTCCTGTCCGGAATGGGAACATCTTTACACGGAATACTGCAGACTGGCGGTAACTTCCAGTTGGCGAACTCGGAGCAGGAGCACGTCGGCTACATGAACACACAGCGGCGATGGCCATCCCACCCTCCTCCTCTTCCCCACCCCTCCTCCTCCTTCTCCTCCTCCTCTCACAGTGTGTAAGAAAGCGTGCTTGCCGTTCAGCTGTCCAATCGAGGGCGCAACCGCAAGGCATTACCGCCGCGCGCGACGCCGAGCATTCTGTCTGTGAGGGGTGTCATTCGTATTTTGCACACTTTGTTGTTTTACAGGTCTTCGTTTCCGTCCCCATCAATGGGGCGTGCAGCTCTTCGAGTCGCCCGGCCGGACTTGCTTGCCTCCTCCTCCTCCTCCTCGTCCTCCTCCTCCTCTCTTCCCTTCTCCTCTGGGCCCCATCCCTCAGGGGCCACATCTTTGAGCCGCCGAGATGGGGCGGGCGCCCACGCGCGTCGACCGCCGCCGCGGCGGCATGCCGTCGGGCCCCAGCGGGAGCTCCCCCCGGGGGGGTGCCGGGAGGCTGGAGGCACGCGCGGCTGGCTTCGCTCGCGGGACACCCAGACCCCCTCGAGCGATTAAAAAAACATGACGCGAGGTGTTTTGCTATTTTCGGCATCTGGGGGCCCTCGCCGGGCCTCGGGCCGGGGAACGGGTTGAGACCTTGGGGGGTCGACGTTATGAGAAAATCATTACGTCGGGGGTCTGGGCACGAGGGGGCCGCTCGCTGGCCACAGGTAAGAGAAATGCTGGCGCCCCCGGCCACACGAGGGCCCAGCGCCGGGAAGACCCGTGACCACGCGCGCAGCGCATCCACAGGCAGACGGCATCCACACCCCACGACCGCGTCAGGCCAGGGCCATCCTCGGCCCGGGCATGGTTTACGCGGCCCTTCTGGCCGAGGCCCGGAAGGACTGTCTGTACACCATCCCAGGGCCTGGAAGGTGTATAGATGCCGTCTGTGGAGTCCAGCTCTCGCCCGAGCCAGCCACGCCGCGTGCATCCAGCTTCCTGGTAGGCAAACTGGTGCGAATGGCGCCCTAGGCGCAAGGCGCACCACGAGGAAGCCCGCGTGCCCACCGACTCGAGCCAGGTGGCCAGCCGAAACGGCTACGGACGACAGCGACGACAATGACCATGCAGGCCCCGAATAAGTCGGCGGCGAGCCCAGGGGGGAAGGAGAGGGGGCGGGCCTTCTCAGAAGGCTCGGAAGTCCCACGGCCCTCTGAGAAGTCTCCTCAGCCTTCCCCGAAGACACAGGAAATTTCTCAGAAGGCGCGAGGACTTCTGAGCAGCCCCGCCGCCTTCTGAGACGGCCTTCTCAGTCTCACGTCCCCCCCTCGCTCGCCGCCGAAGAAGGGCGCGCAGTGGTAAATGCCTGGGGGGCGGCTCGTGGCAGGGGCCGAGGGCGGAAGCCGCGGATGGTAGTCGGGAAAGTCGCGGGGGGGGGGTTGGCGCGGGTCGTGTGGGCGCGCATCGCGGAGGGGTGCGAATGGGGGTGCCGCGGATCATGGGGCGCGGGTCGCGGGGATCGCGGCTGCGCGGGCGCTGGTCGTGCGTAAGTCGCCAGCAGATCGCAATCCGTTGGGCCCCGAATTCGCAGACGAGTGCAGGCGGGTCGCCGGGCGGGCGGGTCACGGGGTAGCAACGGCAACAACAGGGGCACCACCGACAGATACGTCACCCTCATGCTCACTCTCTCCATGCACCACATGCATCCATCATGGCAGCCTCCGCTTCGCTGGCGCATGATTCTCAGAAAGGGGGCCAATCATGCACCCAAGCACAGTGTAAGACCGTACGTTACTCACCTCACACGATAGAGGTGCTAGTTACCCACGCCTTACAAATGGCGTGTCATTGGGTAAGTCACGGGTGGGTCGTAGAGTGATCACGGTGAAGTCGCGGGGTAGATCGTAAGTGGGTCTTCTTGGGGCGGGCGGCGGCAACACATTATCATACTAACCGCAATCCGCACCGCTAAACCCCAGCCTCAGCCACTTATCCAAGGACAGTGCATGCACGTTCGGTCTCCTGACTCTTCTTTAGCCCTTAAACGATCAGGGGCTCTCTGTTTTCGGCCTGCTTCACCACATCCACGCCTGCCAGCGTGGTTCTTGACCACACCTGTGATGCATGGACCAGCGCCTACCTCCTGAGATGCTCTGCTTTGGTGTGCAATGTGGCTGCTTGTGTGTGTGCGTGGTTTCTATGCGTTGCTTCTGCTGGCGTGGTACGCGCTCAGTGAATGCGTCCTTGGGAGGTCGCGAGGCGTGGAGTTACACGGGGACCCAGTGGAGACCTCGCGGCTCCCTGAGGGGCTGCGAAGTGTGAAACTGTCGCGGGCTCCTGGGAGGTCCGGCGGAGTGAAGTTACACAGGGACCCAATGAAACCACTGCGGCTCCCTGGGGGGCTGCGACCTGTGACACTGTCGCCATCGTCGTGGGCTCTTGGGAGGTTCAGCGGAGTGGGATTGCACGACGACCCAGTGGAGACCTCGCGGCTCCCTGGGGGGCTGCGAAGTGTGAAGCTGTCAATGCTTTCGTGGGCCCCTGTGAGGTCCAGCGGAGTGGAGCTGTGCGAGGGCCCGATGGAGACCTCACGGCTCCCCTGGGGGCAGCAGTCAACACTGCATACCTCGCGTCGTTCGGACTGGGGGGGCGCTCGCCGCCGCTCGACATGCGATGGGGGGCGCCAGCCGTGGCAGGGGCAAGGGGTGCCGAGCGTGGCAGCCAGGGGTGCCGAGCGTGGCAGCGCCCACCCCGAGCTGAGCTCAGGGCGGGACACGTCGAGCTGCACCTGGCGATGCATCGCCGATGCATCGGCGATGGGCCCCAGTGACGCGACCGCACGCTCCTGGGCGGGGGCGGGCTATCAGACCCCTATCGGCGATCAATGGGCGACCGAGGGTCGATGCCCCCCCCCCCAAGCCTGTCCCCCCCGAATGTTGCCCCGGATCCAGGGAGGCGGGGCGCTTTTTCAGAATGCCCTCCGCCTCCTGAACCTGCCCCCTCTTCGTGCGCCGCGGAGCAGCGGCGGGCGGTGTCTTCGATCGCCGCCGTCGTGGGTGCTTTCCTCCGATCACTCCTCGTCATCCTGGCTCTTGCCACTCGTCACCCTGGGAATGATCAACATTCGGCGGCGAGCGAGGGGGGGAATGAGAAGGAGAAGGCATTCTCAGAAGGTTCAGAAGTCCCCTGGGCTTCTGAGAAGTCTTCTGAGACTTCCCAGAAGACAAACAAAACTTCTCAGAGGGCGCGCGGGCTTCTGAGAAGCCCCGCCGCCTTCTGAGAAGGCCTTCTCCTCCTCACTTCCCCCCCTCGCTGGCCGCCAATGGGAATGCTCAATCTGCCCGTCTCAACCCGCTCCGCGCTCGTGACACGATTCTGTCTGGTGCTGCCCAGCCCTCCGCGAGCCGGCAAGGCCAGGCTCCATCCAACACGCCCCTCGAGTGATGACCGAATTGTCCCCCAGGTCCCACGCGGGGCCCGACACCCCCACCACGAGAATCCGACTGGAAACGCACAGCAAACACAACAAACACAACATAGCATAACACAACACAAACCACACCAGACCACAACACACACACAACACACACACACAAAACACACAACATACAACACACAACAGAAGCCACACACACACGTTTCCTCCAACGCGCCGCTAGACCTAAATGACGGCTGCAGGGTGACGGGACGCGTTTACCAATAATTCGTGTCCTTCTGGAGCGGCGCGGTAATTAGCTAGACAGGGGGGGGGAGGGGTACAGGAAACACGCAGCGGGTAGTGGCGCACGCCAGTGGTACTACACGCACACACATATGCACGCATGGCCATAACACCTATCTCACAAGCACGCACGAACACACATACATCGCACACATATACACACACGCAAGCAAGCACACCAAAATACAAGCACACAGACATTCAATCACCGAGCACACAAGCATACAAACACACACAACACCACATACACACGGGCAAACACACGCACAGACATACAAGCACGCACGCGGAAACACATACCAACGCACACACACAACACACAACACACAACACACAACACACACACAACCACAACGATCGTGTAATCCAGACGGATGCCAACATGCGCACGGCGTCCCTTGCAGCCGTGTGCCGCGACACGCGAATAAATACACCTCCACTGGAACCGTCGATGTGATGCAAACGCACATGTGCACACACTGCCATTGATACGCATGTGCAGTTCTGGATACACACGCTCTGCAACTCCGTGAATTCTCCTCGCGTGCACTCATATTTCTCACCACGCCCTACGTTATCCTCAATTCGCGCACTGCTGCCGGCCTGCTGGTACTGGATCCAATACTCCTCGTACCGCTTGTTCTGCGCCTCTGGTGCGCTACGCTGTCACCCTGGCCTGCATGCTCCAACGGCAACAGCAGAACTCGTGCGCTGCAAAAAAGGTAAACTCGACTGCGGCTCTCTTTCCGGGGATAGCGGCCAGAGTGCGTCCTCCTCCTTTACCTCCTCTGGCATCTCCTTTTGCTGCACCTCCGAATTCGGCTCCTCCTGCCCTTCTGCTCCAAGGGCCCAATAATCGAGAGTCCCAGGCAATGGAGACGGCCTGGTGACGTCTCCAGAAGGCGCCTCGATGCCCTCCATGCGGCGAGCAGCCTCCAAGACGACCGAACATATCCAAAGTAGCGCAAGACCCTCGGATCTCATATGTATACACGTATACATGCCCATGCATACATTAACAACGTATGTAGAGACACAGGCGTGCGGATGCATCTGTGCATATATATATATATATGTATATATATATAGATACACAAACAGTTTTATATAGGCAGGTATGTATAGCTAATATATATATATATATGTCAATTTATGCCTGCACACGTTGGTAAGAGTGTAACACACCCAGAGAATTCAGCTGAACGTAGCTGTTGGATCCTTGCATGGTCCCATGGCGGCACACGAAAAACCCACACACTTCTCGAATCAACAAAACAATATCCTGGCGAAAGACCCAACCATACGCTGTCGTGACTACCGCATTGTAAGTACCGCTTTCGGTTGAACTCCCCATGGGGCCACGAACTGTGTGAAAAAGATGTCAACATGGGCGTCGGTCGCATGTGGCCTGTGCCACTGGGGCCTTCGGTGGAACTCCCTATGGGGCCACGAACCGTGCGAGGGGTGTGCCCAAATGGGAATCGGGCGCATGTGGACCCTGCCGCTGGGGCCTTCAATGGGACTCCCTATGAGGCCACGCGCCGTGTGCTGGGTGTGCCTAAATGGGCGTCGGGCGCATGCGGACCCCGCCACTGGGGCGGGCCATCGGTGGAGTTCCCTATGGGGCCACGATCCGTGTGAGTGGTGTGTCAACATGGGCGTCGGGCGCATGCGGTCTGAATACTGCGGCCCTCGGTGGAGCTCCCTATGGGGCCACGGACCGTGTGAGAAAGTGTGTTAACATGGGCGTCGGGCGCATGCGGGGCCTGCCACTGGGGCCTTGGGTGGAACTCCCTATGAGGCCACGAACCGTGTGCTGGGTGTGCCTGAGTGGGCGTCGGGCGCATGCGGATCCTGCCACTGTGGCCTTCGATGGAGCTCCCTATAGGGCAACGAACCATGTGAGGTGTGTGTGTGTGTGTGTGTGCCACAATGGGGCGTCGGGCGCATGCGGACCCTGCCACTGGGGCCTTCGGTGGAACTCCCTATGGGGCCACGAACCGTGTGAGGGGTGTGCTTAAATGGGCGTCGGGCGCATGCGGACCCTGCCACTGGGCTCTTCGGTGGAGCACCCTATGGGGCTACGAACCTGGTGAAGGGGGTGCCGAAATGGTGGACATACCGAGGGCAGGGGCAAGACTGAGGAGGGAGAGGCGGAACAGAGGAGAAGTAGGTGGGACGCGGGGCGCTGTTTTTTCCATTCCACACGAGGACCCAACACCACAAGATGGTTGGAAACCAATTATCCAAACGAAAGACCCAACCATGCGCAATTGTGAATGCACCGTTGTGGGTACCGCTTTCGGTGGAGCTCCCTATGGGGCCACAAACCGTCTGAGGAGTGTCAACATAAGCGTCGGGCGCATGCGGCCTGTGCCACTGGGGCCTTCGGTGGAACTCCCTATGGGGCCACGAACCGTGTGAGAAGTGTGCCAAAATGGGCGTCGGGCGCATGTGGCCTGTGCCACAGGGGCCTTCGGTGGCGCTCCCAATGGGGCCTCGAACCGTGTGATGGGTTTGCCAAACTGGGCGTCGGGCACAAGCCGCCTGTGCCGCTGGGGCCTTCGGTGGAGCTCCCTGTGGGGGCACGAACCGTGTGAGAAGGTGTGCCAAACTGGGCGTCGGGCGCATGCGGCATGTGTCACTGGGGCCTTCTGTTGAACTCCCTCGGGGGCCTCGAACCGTGTGAGAAGGTGTGCCGAAATGGGCGTGGGGCGCATGCGGACCCTGCCACTGGGGCCCTCGGTGGAGCTCCTCATAGGGCCACGAACCGTGCGCAGGATGTGCCACACTGGGTGCGTCGGGCGCAAGCGGCCTGTGCCACCGGGGCCTTCGGTGGAACTCCCTATGTGGCAACGAACCGTGTGTGCCAAAAATGAGGGCAGCGGGCGCATGCGGCCTGTGCCACTGGGGCCTTCCGTGGAGCTCTCTCTGGGCCCCGATCCGTGGTGCGCCGAAATGGGCGTCGGGCGCATGCGGCACGTGCCCTTTGGGCCTCCGGTGGAGCTCCCTATTGGGCCACGATCCTCGTGAGGGGTATGCCGAAATGGCGGATATGCGGAGAGCAGGGGCAAGGGATGGGAGGAGAAGGAGGATGAGGAGGGGGAGGAGGAAAAGGAGAAGACGAGGAAGGAAGGCACGCGGGGCGCTGTCTCTTCAAACTGGGGACCCGACATCACAACATGGCTGGGATAAAAACAAGGCAGCTGCAACAAGAGCTTAGGCCGAGGATTCTCTCCTTGGGTGCCCCAGGCGGCCGAACAGGTCACCAACTCGTCCCAAGATCTCTCAGGAGGGCGTCAACACGTGGGCACGTCGCAAACAGTCGACCCGTGAGGCTCCCAAGGCAGCCCAAGATGAGCCCCGGCAGTCCAAGGATACCTCAACAGGGCCAAAGGACATCCAACATGACGTTTATCTTCCCTTCGCCCTCTCTCTCGCTCTCTCTCTCTCTCTCTCTCTCTCTCTCTCTCTCTCTCTCTCTTTTAACATAGATATGCAGATATCGGCATACACGTGTGAACGTGTGAACGTGTGTGTGTGTGTGTGCATCTACCTGTGTGTGCATAAGTATCTTCACCAGCATGGGCCCGAATCAGTGGCTCATTGAAGTGCGGATGATGCGCGCGCTATGCGATCCAAACTATGTTGTGCAAACTATGTGGTGCAAAGTCTGCGGTGCAATACATGTGGTGCAAGACATGCGTAATGCATGCAGTGTAAGCAAGTCAGTGAAAGCTATGCAGTGTGAGGTGTAAGCTATGCTGTGCAAGCTGTGTGGTGTAAGTTGTGGTGTGTGAGCGATGCGGTGCAACACATGCGGTGGCAACGACACTGGGATGCAAGCTGTGTGGTGTACGCTGGGCGGCCGCTGTGGTCAAACAGTGCGGTGCAAGCTCTGTGGTGAAAGCCGTGCGGAGGCCCAGCGCACCGAGCATGCGCGAAACGCCCACGGGCGGCCACCACACGAAACACACCGACGGGCCAGCCCGGCACACGGGCGGCCCACGAAATGCCCCAGGCAGCACAGCGGCCGGGCATCGAGCGGACCCCCGACGGACCTCGCCGGCGCACGGGGCGCCCACGACGCGCCCACGGCCGCGCACCCGCGGGGCGCCGGGCGGAATCTCGGCGGGGCGCCGCTCTGCGAGCGCGTCCCGTCGCCGTCGTCGTCGTCGTCGTCGTCGTCGTCGTCGTCGTGGTCGTCGTGGTCGTCGTGGTCGTCGTCGTCGTGGTCGTCGTGGTCGTCGTGGTCGTCGTGGTCGTGGTGGTCGTCCTCGTCGTCGTCGTCCTCGAAACACACACGACCGGGCTCCGTGCGAAACCCCGACGGACCCGCCCGGCGCACATGGGCGCCCACGACCGGGAGGCGCCAGGCGAAGCGCGACGGACCAGCCAAGCGCACAGGGGCGCCCACGAGGAACCCCCGGCCAGGCACCAGCTGGGCACCAGGGCGAAACCTCGACAGACCCCTCCAATAATTACCTGCGTGGAGCGTCCTCGGATCCCTTCGAGTTCTGACAGTGAGGTCTTGCCAATGCTTATGGAAAAAGGGCACCGGCGCCAGAGCTCCAGGCGCATCAGGGCGCTCGTGGGGGCGCCCCGAAGTACTTCACTGGATGGAATGCATATCAATCCGCGTGAAGCCTGTTGGGTGCTCTTTTCGTGGCTTTTGAAACCTCTTGGGCGTCTCGTGTATTTGTTTTCAAGGCCTTGCGGGGCCCTTGAGGTCTCTTGAGGCCTCTTCAAGACTCTTGGAGGCCTCGTGGAAGCTTTTCGGGGTCCCTCTGGGGCCTCTTGGGGACTTGTTGGGGGCCTCTTGGTGGCTCTTGGAGCCATCTTGGGACCTCTTTGGGGTCTTCTTGAGGGATCCCGTGGGCCTTGTTGGGGCCTCTTGGGAGTTTCTTCGGGGGCGTCTTGGGGCCTCCTGGGGGTCTCTCGGTGGCGACCTTGAGGCCCCAGCAGCCCAAAAAGGCGAGAAGGCAACAAGACAGTATTGTCCAAATTCTTTTGACAGATGTCTGCCTCCTGGTGGCGCCAAGGAGGCCTCATGGCAACCCACAAGGCGAGAAGGCAACAGCACATGATTACCCACACGGTTCTGACAGATCTCTGCCTCCTGGTGGCGCCAAGGCGGCCTCTTGGGAGCCACCTGGCGGCCTCTTAGGGCCTCTTGGAGCATCGTGGGAGCTTTTTGTGCGCTCCTGGGGCAGTCTTGGGGGGCATCTTATCTGAGGCTTTTTTGAATAGCCAGAAAAGGACCCCTGACGTTTTGGGAGGGGACCTAAGATAGGAGGGCACAACACATTAGGGATACGGGGTTCTTTTCTGCAGGTGTATCGAACCAAGCCGCCCAAGTGAATTATCCCTAATGCGAAGACATGGACCTCAGTGAGGCCACGGTTGCCTGGGGCCATCCTCCGCGAGGCCGTCCAGGAAGCCTCCGCGGCCGCCAATCTGCAGAGGGCCGCCCAGAACCCGCCGTGCGTCAGCGTGGCGCCCGCCTGCCCCTTCGCCGCCCCCCCCCCGCAGTCTGCTCCGATGTGCACACGCACACATACAAGTGGCACGTGCGTGCACAGGCTCACACACACGTGTGCAAGATGTGTGCGCGCGTGTGTGCAATGCGTGTGACTTGTGTGTGTGTGTGTGGGCTGCGTGCTATGTGTGAGTGTTAGGTGTGTGTGTGTGTATATGTGCG